TTGCGGGGTGCAAACTACTGCAAAGGACACTCCCTTTCTGTATCCAAAATTGCTTTGAAATCAGGTGGATGGAGCTTGATTTTATAGCTGAGATAGTTTTCCTGTTATGATTAGACTTTTAGCATACAGCCAATCGTGTATAAGCGTTGTTTCCGTTGCCAGGTGGAGTGAGAGCCCTCATTACCTGTCCTTCCTCAGCTTGTTCCGCATTCTATGCACACTATCACGTCTAAAAATTCAATGCCCTTTGTTTTGGAATCTGCTTGTAGTACAAAACAAAGCTGTAGATTTTGTAAAATCTTATTTCTTACGCTTACTTTCTGTAGTGAAAATATGCCATTCTCTTCTGGACACACTTGGATATGAAATTGATGTTTACGCAGTTCAATTAGAGCTTCTTCACATGAGGCTGAGTGAGGAATATCTATTAACTAATATTATCCTTGTTTCCTTCATGTCAAGGACTTTTCAGCCGTTTTTAACCGCCAGACCTCGGTTATACGAGATGGCTTTGCTATGTAAGCATTTCAGCCCCGTGAGACGAATCTTTTCCATTTTCGCACGCGTTTCCGCGATTGATGAAGTAATTTAAAAACATCACTATGTCTTACTTTTCGGCTTTGCTGCATAAAAGTTCATTTCTTGATGTAAAATAAGTATTGGTGAAAGGAATTTAATTTACAACTACAACAGTCAAGGAAATTATGAGTTATTTTTTGGCGCACCTTATCGTGCTGTCAACAATTTTATTCCAGTTTTCCGGGCTAAAATTTCTCACACAAACGCGGGACTGCGCTCCCTTGGTTGACTGGAAAAGCAATTTTATTGGGCTTTATACTGAAGAGGCCCTTAGATAATGGGCATCTAGAAATGTCGTCGCGTGCGCAATTAGTTAGTCGGTTTCCTTATTGAAAATAAAACAAAAGGACAAAGCATACTTGTGGTAAGTAAGTAAGTAATTTTATTTAACCACATATCGCATATGAGCGATAGCTCGTTTAAATGCAAATGTGCCATAAAAATTACAACGTGATAATTTACATAATCTACATGTACAAGTGATAAATAAAAATAAGAAATAGAAAAATCAAATCAACTAAAAAATAATAATAATTTAAAAAGAGAAACTATTGGTAATCAGACTGTCTATTTACAAAATACACAGTTGCAGTCATACGATGAAGATAACTGCAGGACATCCTTATTTTGTCTGGTATATTGTTCCATTGTTTGCCAGCCTGGTACGTGAACCAATGTTGCATGTAAGATGAGGTCGGTCTTGGAAGAACAACCTTAAGATGGCCCCGTAGGGTGTAACCACTGCTTCGCAGTAAAAACTTTTCCCGATGTAGTTCGGTGTCTGAGTATAAATGCTATTGTATACGAGTATCAGTGCTTGTTCTATGCGTCGATGTTCCAAGCTTTTGATATGTACAGTTTTAACTAGCTCTTCATAAGCAGTCGATTTAGAGTAGTTAAGAAGAGTCCTAAGAGCAAATGCGTTGGTTGACTCTAGTTTTGCAGACAAACCTTTAGTTAGACCTATGAACAATAGTGATGCGTATTCAAAGTGAGGCAGAACAAATGCTTTGTATAGTTTAATCATAATATCTGAGGGTATAAATTTACAAATGCGACGAAGAATTGAAACTTTTGTGTTCACTTTCCGGCAAATTTCTTTAATATGTGCTTTAAAAGAGACTGAATTGTCGATAATTACACCAAGGATCTTGATCTGTGGAACATATTCCAGTTCATTGCTGTCAATAACAAAGGGCGTTGGTAGAGTTGCTCTATTGAAGACGATGGATTGAGATTTACTATGGTGAAAAGGAAGGTGAATAGATGGTTACGAAAATATAAATATTTTTTCGTTTCGATGTATTTCTAGTTAATAATTACAATCCAAATATTTAATATATATGACGCATGTAATGATAGAACTCTGACATGTATATTGATTGCTTTGTTCCTGGTATATGTAAAAATCCTTTGAACGATATTAATGTTTGCCAGGTTTGGCTAACAAGTCGATGTTTGCCTCAACAACGTTTTTTCGTTATCACCAGCATAGGCCTCTTTAAAAATATTGAAGTAATCACGTATAGTCCAATATAACTTTCGGAAGCCTTAAGTACGAGTTTATGTTTACCAAACTGAAGAACATTCAAACTCGAGAAAATAACTACATGTATAACATTTGATGAAAGTTGTAAGCAAGCAAGGTTATGGCAGATGCTAGAATGATAAATTGTTCGCTACTATCAATGGCTTCTCTTTGTGACATAGTTGGGCGAAACGTGCGGGCCACTAGTTTTGTGAGCAATCGTCTTAGCTCGCCCTTTGAACACTGAGGCACATCCTAAAAATAGAAGCGAAGAATCATTTCGCAACTTCGTCAACTCTGTACTCAAACAATATTCTTCTAGCTTACAGTCTACGTTCTCAAACACCTTAAAATGATAACAAAAAACCCTGGTTCTACAGCGGATTGACTGTGTACTTAGCTGTAAATTAAGGACAGTAACTGGCATCAAAACTAAAGAGGTCTTAACGTAATGACCATTCATAGAATCTTAGTTCGATTCTTTTTCATTTTTCATTTTTTTTTTTTTTTGACTTTATGTTAAGCAGATTTGAAAAAATGCAACTTGACGATAAATGAGAAGGGTAAAGCGCAAGGAAGGGACTCCACATGTCTTCCAGTGCTCAATTTACCGCTCTGGTCGTCCTATCATCAATTTTTCTGAGCGTGCCCCGTCGTCACTGCCGTCGGGTTGTCCGTTGCTAAATGTGCCTAAATCTCTCCGCTCGCAAGCAGTTTTAGACCGTCAAAGAATCAGAACGGCTTCGGTCGGCTTAAATCTTACTCTTAAGACAGCGGTTTATAACGACTGAAGTTGACATAAAAACAAAATGGAAGTTATTTCATTGAAATTGTGCTTTTTTTCCTGTTTGCGCTTGAGTAAATAAGTAGGACATGCACGTTTGGAGACACCATGAGATGGAGCTAAACATGCTTTTAACCAAATTTTTCAGGTTACCCTAAAAAATGCCATTGGTCAGTTTTTCAGATATCAGACAAAATAATGTCACTCCTGCTTACATATTTCTGCTTCACTGATGTTAGGGGTCCTTATTATTCACTTGATGAGACGTCCACAGTACCGACTACCGACTAACAAACAAATAGAAAATTTAGAAGGCTTTTGATCAGAATTCAAATCGGAAAACAATCCCACCAACAGAAGGACGAAGATGCACCTCATTTCGTCTAAAAATTCAAAGCCCTTTGTTTTGGAATCTGCTTGTAGTACGAAACAAAGCTGTAGATTTTGTAAAATCTTATAACTTTCGTTTACTTTCTGTAGTGAAAATATGCCATTCTTTTCTGAACACATTTGGATATGACATTGATGTGCGTGCCCGAATCAGTTAGAGCTTCTTCACATGAGGCTGGGTGAGGAATATCTATTAACTAATATTATCTTTGTTTCCTTTATGTCAAGGACTGTTCAGCCGTTTTAACCGCTAGAACTCGCGAATACCGGATGGCTTCGCTCTGTATTAAAACACTGCAGCCCCGTTTACTGGGACGAATCTTTTCCAATTGCGAAACGCGTTTCCGCTATTAATGAAGTAATTAAAGTACAACATTATGCCTTACTTTTCGACTTTGCTGCATAAAAGTTGATTTCTTGATGAAAAATGAATAATGGTTAAAAGAAATTTAATTTACAACTAAAACAGTTAACGAAAATCATGACTTTAACTGAGTCTTTCGCGCACCCTATCGTGCTGGAAACAATGTTATCCCACAATACCCGCAAATGTCGTTAAAATATCGTTAAAATAAAAAGGAAAGTCGTGTTGTTGAGGCCAAACTTTATCCTGTTGGCGCTTACTTAAACCAGTCTGGTAAAACATGCAGATAAGGACAGAATGAGATGGAGCTTAGCTTCAACCAAATTCTACGCGTTATTTTGAAAAATCCTTAAAATATACAGATATCAGACAATGTCACTTGCGAACATATTTTTTCTTCACACGCGGGGGGTTCTTTTCACGCAACGACACGCAAACTTCGACTTTATCGACCATGTATATTGATTGCTTTGTTCCTGGTATATGTAAAAATCCTTTGAACGATATCAATGTTTGCCAGGTTTGGCTAACAAGTCGATGTTTGCCTCAACAACTGTTTTTCGTTATCACCAGCATAGGCCACTTTAAAAATATTGAAGTAATCACGTATAGTCCAATATAACTTTCGGAAGCCTAAAGTACGAGTTTATGTTTACCAAACTGAAGAACATTCAAACTCGAGAAAATAACTACATGTATAACATTTGATGAAAGTTGTAAGCAAGCAAGGTTATGGCAGATGCTAGAATGATAAATTGTTCGCTACTATCAATGGCTTCTCTTTGTGACATAGTTGGGCGAAACGTGCGGGCCACTAGTTTTGAGAGCAATCGTCTTAGCTCGCCCTTTGAACACTGAGGCACATCCTAAAAATAGAAGCGAAGAATCATTTCGCAACTTCGTCAACTCTGTACTCAAACAATATTCTTCTAGCTTACAGTCTACGTTCTCAAACACCTTAAAATGATAACAAAAAACCCTGGTTCTACAGCGGATTGACTGTGTACTTAGCTGTAAATTAAGGACAGTAACTGGCATCAAAACTAAAGAGGCCTTAACGTAATGAGCATTCTTAGAATCTTAGTTCGATTCTTTTTCATTTTTTTTTTTTTTTTTTGACTTTATGTTAGGCAGATTTGAAAAAATGCAACTTGACGATAAATGAGAAGGGTAAAGCGCAAGGAAGGGACTCCACATGTCTTCCAGTGCTCAATTTACCGCTCTGGTCGTCCCATCATCAGTTTTTTTGAGCGTGCCCCGTCGCCACTGCCGTCGGGTTGTCCGTTGCTAAATGTGCCTAAATCCCTCCGCTCGCAAGGAGTTTCAGACCGTCAAAGAATCAGAACGGCTTCGGT